CCCGCCGATGCCCCGGCTCCCCCTGATGTCCCGGCTCCTTGTTGCCTTCGCCCACGGGCCCCGGCTCGTTTCGTCCATGCGTCTCCCTCACCTTCAGACTTCCGCTTGCTGCTTCCGCTCGTGCTGGATGCTTTGTGAGATTGTCTTTCAGATTGTCCGTCAGAGATTTGTTCTGACTTGATACTAACTTGATAGGGAAGGGGTAAGCTTTAATTCTGACAAGATAGATTACTGCTAATTTAGCAATAGTTCTGTATATGATGTAGACATAAATATGATAAAGCGTGAATTATTACTGTGTGGTTAGCTTTAAGACAAGGTGGGGGGGGTGGGGGAAATCACAAACAGTTTTACAAGTAACCAATTTCTTTGACAATAGACACTTTTTTTTTATAGTTTATTACATCAGTAAAATGTATTTAAATAAATACATGTTCATTAAAAAATAAAATAAATCATATGTACAGCTCATATATACAATAAGTACATTTACACAATCTGCTTTTATAAAAGAATATGTACACATTCAGTGCAAACATTTAAATATTACATTTTATAAATAGATATGCCTTCAGGAAACTTAAGTTGTTACATTTTAGTGTCCATAATGACATTGCCATCTTTGTCTTTAACCCGAACTCTCCCAGATGCGTATTTGGTCTCTTGCTGGCCATTGGTGTACACAGTCTTGATGGTCCCATCTGGATACTCTCGCCTTTTAAACTGGGGTGTGTGCAGTTCTCGCTGACCATTGTCAAATTCTATTACTTTGGTTCCATCGCTGTTAAACAATAACGATGTGTTATAAAATATATTGAGTTATGTAGCGAGAAAATAATGTGCTCCTGAAGTTAACCACCTCCCGTCCATGGGCTTTCGTGAACGGCCAGACGGGAGTCTTGTAGGACTGGACGGGTGTCTTAAGACGTCCTGCCTCTGCCCCCACTCATGTGTGGCGCTCAGCACGCACATGAGCGGGGAAAATGTCAGCATGTAAACAGACAGCCAGACATTCAAGATGGCCGATCACTTGCAGGAGCTACGGGTCTGCGCCCCACCCCCTCAAAGGGAGGTCAGTACATGATCTTTCCTTTGATCTCTTCTCGGTCCCCGAATGCAGGAAGTGATGTATACTACATCACTTTCTGCATTCAGTGTCACTCTCCGGTACAGAACACCGGCGCAAAGCTGGTGAAGCAGATCTCTGCTTCATTAGCTTCTCTGGGGGTCCCTAGGTGACATGTCTCCATGGAGAGGACCTTTCATGTAAATTGGATATCACATAGGGGACTAAAGAAAAAGCCCCCCATGTGATAGCAATAAAGTTGTGTAAAAAAAATAAAAGCATAAAGAAGCTAAAAAAAAATAGCCACAATTTTTTTTATTTTACATTTTTTCTTTTTTTTTTTAAAGTCCCTCGCCGCCGCCATGCACGTGCCAGGTGCGCCAACGTGCAGAAAAAGTGACGATTCCGCCTATTGTGCCACACGTTACATATCGCCGCAAACGTCAGAGAGCAATAATTTTAGGGCCATTAATTACTGATAACATTAAAAGTGTTTAAAGCATCACCTATGGGCAATTTTGGGTATGGTCGTTTTCTGCAATTTTTGCGGGTGTGCACAATTTTAAAGCTTGACAGGTTTGGTGTCTATTTACCCGACGTGACCCCGTCTTTTATATTTTACCCAAAAATTGGGGTGATAAATGTTTCATAACATTTTATAGGGAAACCGGTCCTTTTTTTTTTGTTAACTATTAGAACAATAAAAACCCCAGTGGTGATTAAATACCACCAAAAGAAAGCTCCATCTGTCCCCAAAAAATGGTATAAAATTAGTTTCAGTACAGCGTTGCATGACGGAATAAATGTCGGTCAAAGTACTGCAGCGCTGAATACTGAAAAATGGCCTCGTCAGGAAGGGGCTATAAACACCCCAGACTTCAAGTGGTTAAGTAACAGGAAACACTGACTGCTCTAGTAAGGACAGATTGAGCTCTCTCTCATTAACATACAATGCTTCTTTAACCCTTTGCTAGGGCAGAGTTTGTTCAAAATCATAATGAGATATGTACAAAGTACAGACAGGGTTAATTATCAAAAGCATTACCCTACCAAGAAATTGGGTGAATTTGGCCACACAGTCTAGTGTGACTGCAGTAGAGGCCTTGGAGCTAAAGGAGACTCTGATGAGGTGTACTATTGGATGAGAAGCAAGGTGTGAAAGGTGTACGTATGATGAAAGAGAAGTAATATATGTAGGAGTACTTACAGATGAGAAGTTATAATTGTTCCATCAGGAAAAATGCTTTCTTCCTTTCCATCAGGATAGAGGTTTTTTATTGTCTGGTCGGGGAATGTGATCTCCTTCTTTCCATCTGGAAAATGTTTTTCTAAAATAGGAGAAAAAAAAAAAATGAAAAGGAGGAACTTAATCTACCCTGTAGACATCATTGTTCACAGCGCAGTAATCAGCCTAAACAAAGCAAACCTATGGGAAAAACACACTGAATTATAGGCTGTTGTCCACTGGAGTACAGAGAACTCTGAAACCCATGTTGTAACGCACAGCTACTATGGATGCTGTTCTGACCCCTCACTGCCCCTTTCCCAAACCATGCTAGATTTGACCCTATCATTGTGATGGTCAATAGTATTACAAAAGCACCACAGCAGTGACCATGGAAGCCATTAGAATGCCCCATGCGCTCTACAGGTAGCTGCCATTAAAGGATAATTATGAGGTGATTGATTTTCACTCAGCCTCATTACATAAATTATTCATCTAATATTATGGTTATCAGATTGCTATTTTGTCATGAATATGTGTATATCAGTCACTAAACCAAGTCCTCTCACATCCTGTAAGTTCATCCTGTAAGTTCAAGGCACTTCTGGGTGCTCTACCAGTATCTGTGACATGCATGTTTGATGGCACTCTATTTTACAATGTGACCGTTCTGGCAGACTTTTTTTACATTACATGAGGCAGCTCCGTCAGGGAGGGACCTCATTAGGTAGTGTTCATTATTAAATTTGCAATGCAGTACAGTTTGTCATGCATAGCATTCAGGTGTGGCAATACTTGGGCACATTACATCAGCATTTGTCAAAGTGGACAAGGTAGTGGGAAAAAAAAGAAATTGTAAGTATAATAAAAAATATGTTTCTTTAGCTAATGAGTGTAAAATGATTTTATATCAGCATGTAGAGCTGCAAGGTTCACTTGAAGGATTAGCATATGGTTTAAGACTCAACCCACGCCTGCCACAAGCAGAGCAAACACCTAGGAACAGCTATTACCCCACCAGGACCTGGCACCGCTGATAAACCAAACCCAACCTGGTGCATACCCATCAGGGACGTTCCTCACCTCCGCTAGAAGGAAACCACATCAGCCCCGGTTGGTCCAACAGGGGGTAAGCCACTTTCCAGTACTAGCCTTCCCCGGGCACTGAAAAAGGAGTGGGCTCAAACTTCTTCCTACCCAGAAAGAGGTAGGGACTAGGGGGCAAGGATGGAGGAGAATCCCATCATCAAGGAGGGCGAGACAAAAGGGCGAGGGATAAGGACTGCAGATAAGAATCCTGAGCCGATAATACGGTGCCTCCCCTCAGCAGCATTCACTGCTCCACCGCCAACTCCTTCCCGCCCAGCCACTGTGTTCAAACAGATTTAAAACAGTGGGCAGGAGCAAAAGCAAGCTGACTATTGCACCCGCCCACTGCTTGTGGTCAATCACCCGTTCTCTAACAGTCTCAGCCCACTGACAGTGATAGAGAAATGAGTTCTACTTCAGGTCCGCTCCTCTGCTGATTGACAGCAGGCAGTGGGCGGAAGCAATAGCCAGGCTGCTATTGGCTATTGCTCCCGCCCACTTCCTGCTGTTTACATCTTTTTGATCACGGTGTCTGGGTGGCAACGAAATGGTGGAGGGTGGCAGAGGCAAGTCGGGCATTATTGGTCTCGGTATCGACCGGTCAAATAAAAAAAAATTATTACATCCCTGGTAACAAATATAAAATGGGGTTTATTTCAGCTTGTTTGCAAACGTGGAAATAAGATGTTTTTCTTAATGTGTTTGCTGTTGCTGCTAGGGTAGGTGCCTTTTTTCTTATGACTATCTGAGAAAAGAAGCCTTAAATCTTCAGGTTATACTGCTGCCTACAGGAGAGATGGAAACTGGCAAACAAAAAAACATGAAGGCCAACCCTGGGATAACTCCTCCTACTGCCAGCGGCACATTTCTGCACACCAAAGAGCACAATCATAACCACAGAGGGAAGGGAACTATGTCCCTCAATGGATTACAAAAATCCTATTTTGTAGTCCTGGGATCAAAAGTCGAATCTTTGGCGTGGGCAACACAGCAAACAACTGCTAAACAAATGGAACTGGGGACTGTCTTCAGATGAAAGAGCTGCCTGAAGGACCTGACGCCCCAAAGCTGGAAACAGATGACCATCTGGTAAAACCTGTAAAAGCAGAGAGATGCACTCAAATAGAGCAAACAAACACCTCCTGGTGAACTGGACACAAAAGGGACAAGGACAATATTCTGATTTAGGTGACATGTAGAGATGATCTTTAGAAGATCTGGGCCTCAAAATCACCTTGTCCCATTGTAGGACCACAACATGTTCCTTGTAGGGTAACAGAGGATTGTTGTACTCCCCAGAAAATCCTTTTCTTGAAGTCAATTAAAGGGACCCAGGAAGTCTTAAACCTTCGGTATATACTGCTGCCTACTGGAGAACGGGCCAAAGCTGTGGGTCAGCCCAAGATAAACCCTCCCATCACCAGCATGCTTCAGGTTTGTTGCAAAGCAGTACCCAGAGCATCATCATGAACACAAAGAGGTGGAACCTGTTCCATAACTCCAAGTAAAGGATTTTACAGTGAGTACAAAAATCCTACTCTCTTGTCCACTTAAGAAAAAAGGAAGTATGAAATCTTCGGGACGCCTAAAAACACTCGGCCTAAGAGGTGTGCAATGCAGAAAACACTTGCGAACAGGCCCAACAAAAGGAAAAAAATTCAAATTATTTACAATACAAATACTAACATATACAAGGAAAGGAGAGGAAAAAACAAAACATTTATCTGGTTACTTCCCTTATATGATCACTTGCAAAGATCTGTCATCTGTCAAAAAGGGTTTTTATACCCAAAGAAAAATTCCCAAGGTCATTTCCCAAGTACCCCATCTACTACCCATATTTTACAAGACAGACTTGTTTATACCCAAATAGGACCTCCAAGCTTCCCGAACCACTTCAAAAAAGGTAGCTCTTCTATCCTGTGCTATACTATAAAGCAAAAGTCTCTTGGATTATGATTCATGAGAAACGTCAAAGTGTGAAAAGGGAACCTTGGGGTTTTTCCAAGCCTGAACAATAGTAATTTTTGCTGCCAGAAAAAATAGGATTTTTGTACTCACCGTAAAATCCTTTTCTCTCCGTTCATTGAAGGACACAGGGCAACAGATCGGAGATCCTGAAAGTTAGGGTATATCGCCACCTGCAGGAGTAGGACGCTAGGCACATAACAAAAAGACATAGACAGCCTAGGGGCGCGCCCCTGCTGGTGCCCCAACACCCCACCTGCTGACAAGTCTCCAGTTAGTAACAAGCAGTTAGGAGTGCATACCCAGAGAAAGAGGGCGGGGCCTGTGTCCTTCAATGAACGGAGAGAAAAGGATTTTACGGTGAGTACAAAAATCCTATTTTCTCTCCCGTTCATTGAAGGACACGGCAACAGATCGGAGATCCTGAAAAGGTAGGGACGTCACCAAGCAGTAAACCAATGAGGGATGGGCTAAACAACAACAACAAACAACCCAAAAAAGAACCACTCAAAGGGCCGCCTGCAAAACCTTACGCCCCAAACCAGCATCCGCCGATGCCAAAACATCCACCTTGTAAAATTTGACAAAGGTGTGAACTGAAGACCAAGTAGCGGCCTTGCAAACCTGAGAAACAGACGCACCATGGCGAAAGCCCAGGATGCGCCAACAGCCCTAGTAGAATGGGCAGTGACAGGAAAAGGGGGCTCCCGCCCCCTAACGGCATACGCCTGTATGACAACAGTCCGAATCCAACTGGAAATGGTAGCCGCCGACGCGGCCCGGCCCTTACGAGGGCCACCTGTGAGGACGAACAAGGAATCCGTCTCACGGAAAGAAGCAGTAGCATCCAGATAAACACGAAGAGCGCGCACCACATCCAGGCAATGCAGCGCCCGTTCCTTCCTGTGAACCGGCTTCGGGCACAAGGACGGCAAAACAATGTCCTCATTTAAGTGAAAAGCCGACACAACCTTAGGGAGAAAGGTCGGCAGAGGACGGAGAACCGCCTTGTCCCTATGAAGGACCAGAAACGGCGACTTGCAAGACAAGGCAGCCAATTCAGAAACCCTCCGAACCGAAGTAATGGCCACCAAAAAGGCAACCTTTTGGGACAAGGACAAGAGCGGAATGTCCCGAAGAGGCTCAAAGGGAGATTCCTGTAGCACCGAAAGCACCAAGTTCAGATCCCATGGTGCCAGAGGCGAGCGGACAGGAGGAGCAATACGCGTAACCCCCTGAATAAACGTACGAACCAAGGCGTTAGACGCCAAAGGACGTTGGAAAAGAACCGTCAAGGCAGAGATCTGGCCCTTCACCGTGCTCAAGGCCAACCCCTGAGCCACCCCACACTGCCAAAAGTCAAGAATTCTGCTGATGGAAAACAAGCGTGGAGAGCAGGCCCCAGCCTCGGACCAGGCAAAATAGGCCCTCCAGGTACGATGGTAAATCCTCCTAGAGACCGGCTTGCGGGCCCTAAGCATCGTGGAGATGACCGCATCAGACAACCCCTCTGTCTCTCAGCCCCTGGCTCTCAACTGCCACGCCGTCAAAGCCAGCGACTGTAAAGAAGGATGGTACACAGGCCCCTGGGACAGAAGATTCGGACTCAGAGGCAGCCGCCAAGGGGCGTCCACCAGCAGTCGAACCACGTCCGCATACCACGCTCTCCGAGGCCAGTCCGGGGCCACAGATGACGAGGACGTCTTCGACCGGTATCCGACGTAGCAGCCGAGGCAACAGGTAAAGCGGAGGGAAGGCATATAATCAGACTGTAGGGCTCCCAAGGAGCCACCAGGGCATCCACCGCGTCCGCCCAGGGATCCAGAGCCCGGGCCACGAACCTCTCCACCTTCCGGTTGAGACGAGACGCCAGAAGGTCCACATCCGGCGTACCCCAGCGAAGGCACAGCTGATGAAAGATGTCGGGGTGCAGGGACCATTCTCCCGGGTCCACAGACTGGCGACTGAGGTAGTCTGCCTGCCAATTGTCCACTCCCGGGATGTAAACTGCCGATAGGGCGGGTCCTTGCGCTTCCGTCCAAGACA